CTGCGACTACTACTACCGATATGGTGTATCGTCATCGCTGATAAATTGGGGGGGGAATAAGTCAAACAGAACCAATTATGTTCGGAAGAGCCTTTTCATTTGGATGAGAATGCAAGCAAAACCGTCGGCTTTGTTGGTAACGGCTGCTGTTGAGATTTCATTTTCTCTGGGTTTTATACACCTTGCTACCGGTGAATTTATTTGTTGAAGGGCCAGGCCCTCTCGAGCTTCGGGCGGAAATTGCCGTCGTTAAACGGCGTGTTGGCCTTGCCAAAGTGAACTGAATTGAGAGCTCTGCGGGTATCATTCGACATCTGGTCCCACATAATAAGATCTTGGAATGTACCAGCGTCGCCGGTGGTATCAAGGTCGTGGTTCAATGGCCAGGCGTGCTTGTATCGGACCTTGAGACTGGTGCCGTCAATAACGTATGACGGACAAGGGTTGTACTTCTTGTAGCCGCCGTGGGATGACACTGAGCAGGCAAGAATCTTGGGTTCCGCCACCTCGGGATTGTCAATAAACACAATCGCGTGCTCCCAGTCGTGACGGTGGCCCATGCGAGACGATGGAGAATCCTTGGGAAAGTACCATGAGTACATGATGGCCCAGACGCCTTCCATCCACGTCGAGCGGCCGTACACTGGCCGGAGCCTCTGCATCCACCTCTGGAGCTTCCAGAGGTTTGAAGACCGCCGCTAGTCTCCCCCATTTCGTTCACGGCAGGGTAAGGTACGCATCCAGTACGGATTTGAATCTGAGGTTTGAACTTGACGCCGGCCTTCTCGGAGATCGTGACAGGTTCGGGCTGAGGGAACGGCTTCACATCGTCATGGCCAATGGTTTTTGTCACCCATGGGCCAGGGTCCGGCGTTGGAGCAGGAGTTGGAGCAGGCGTTGGGGCAGCAGTAGGGGCGGGAGTCGGCGGTACTTGGCGAGGATCCGGCCTCGTCGGACCTTTTGTCACGTTTCGAGGAACGGTGGCCGACGGGGCTCGGGTCAACTTGTTGAAGTCAATGTACTTTATGGTTGATTTCGGGGTTTCAATAGGACCCTGCGCTTGGGATGCAGTCTTTGATTCAGGGGAGCCGACATCGCCTTGCGACGCTTGCATTTGACTTTGAGACCCGTCTTGGGCTTGCACAGACGCAAGAACGGCAAGGCCAGCCCACAGAACAGCGTAGAGGTTCATTCTTCCAGCCGCGGTTGTTGATTGTTGACGTCGGAGAAATTTGCGATATGCTGGACCAACA